ATAATCTCCGAAATCGAACAAAAAAGGGTTCGAATCTTTGATTGAGCACAGTTTTGTCTACATACGTTCAACACTGTATTATGTGGGTCCTTTTTCGTTTGAATTTCTGTGATTTACACTTTCTCTAAAAAGACTAGGGTTTACCAGATTTCTCTCCTAAATTGATTTCGAACTGATTTTGCATGCCTTCTTTCCTTATTCTATGATTGATTTATTTTGTTTCCTTGTTTGTTCGTTCAATTTTTACTGCTATATAAACCCCTCCCCATTCCCCTTTTAGGACAGACTTGAATCGACATATTTTCACTAAAAATATTGAGGCTTTATTATGCTATTCTCTTGTTCTGTATTCTGTTTTTGGTCGGCTGAAAGCCAAGGCCACTAAGACTCTGTTATTCAATCTTATCTTGGTGCGAGCATTGCCCGGAGTTCTTTTGAAGCTCCTGGGAACTTTGACGCATTGAGATTCTGGGTTCTTGTGAAATTTTTGCTCTTTACTGTTTGTTCGTTTAACTGGTAAGTTACTGGACTTCTGCAATTTCACTCTTATGTGTCTGTGATTCGCATACATTCTCACTTCTGAAATTCATAGCTTAATATGTTTCTGGATTGCCCTTGTGTGTAATTCTGCTAGCTTTACCTCAGTTTTAGGTCTCTTTAGCATTTAATTTCATATAATGTGGCTACTCTGAAACACGTTTTTGCCTAATTTGAGCAATTTAGATTCTCTTAAATTCGTTTAGCCAATTTGTTCTGAACTACTGATGTGTGTGACCTTTGTACTTGTTAGCATCTCTTTAGTGTTTAGTTCTGCTTAAAATGTCAATTCTAATATTTGAATATGCTTCATTTGCATAATTTATACTTTCTTTAGTTAATTAGTCTATTGTGTCCAAAACCTGAATGTTTATATTTACTATCTGACATAAGTTTATTTTCCCATTATGTTCTGAATCTCTGTAATGGTAATCTTGCCATGTAGTATGTTTTAAGTCTGTGTTAAGATCCTTCTCTACCAACCATGACTAGTTCTTTGTTAATATGTCCCTCAACATATTTTTGGCTCACTTGATCCGCCAGTAATTGTCATAATCTGTGTTGCCTCATCATGTCTAATGTTGTTCTGTTGTCTGATGTGAAATTAACATGGCTATTTTATGACACTAGGATATATACTTAGTATAATTTGGACCTTTAGGTTTTCACTTGTTTGGTATTGGGCATTTGTACATGATAATCTTTGTCAATCCTGCAAACTTGTTCTTTCCTTAACTCTGCCAATATGTGACTGTCTATGTGCTAAGTGTCGAACCTGCTTCTAAATCTTTACTAAACTTGCTTTTAAATCCTGTGACCTGTTCGATTATCTGCTCTATATGCTCAACTTGGCCATGTCTGTTTTAAGTTATAATTGTATCCCTCAATTCCTGTCTCTCAACCTTGGTCTACTCTCCTTTACTTGTTACCTATGCTCTCTTAAATTTCTCATTCTTAGCCGGCTGAAAGCCAAGGCTACCTAGGCTTTACTGCTAACCTCCCTAGTGTGAGCACTACTCGAGGTCCATTTGAGGCCCTTGTGAACTATGACACACTAGGATTTGGGTCCTTAGTCATTCCCTGAAACTTAAACTACCCCCATTCAACCCCTTTCTTCCTATTATCTATTGTACATCTAAGTCGGTTGGTTTAAATGATGCAATGCTTGAAAATATGGTTATATGAATTGACTTTGGGCTCCTCTATGGATTCTGGGGTTGTGTTGATGAATACGACAGCTTGTTAGAAGTCTGGGTATGCTGTGTGAGAATTGCTGAAGGCCCAGACAGTGCTGGATATTTCATTTGGGCCGGCTGTGGGCCTATTATCATTATTTGTATAACATTTGTATCTTACTCATTAATGGGCCTGTAATAACTTTTGTATAAACAATTGGGGTGTTAGTAAAATGAGGAAGGGGTAGATTCTTAATGTTTGTGTAAAAAGGGTAGACAACATGCATATATGACTCATTGATTCACTTGCTATATATGCCGTTCAATTTATATGTGCAATGTAGAAACCATGTCATTAGGATAAACACACACACACACACACACACACACACACACACTGTCTGTTGGAAAACATGAATTCAAATGCTGCAATTATTCTTACTGCTACGTGTTACTAGAAAACCTGCCTATAGGAACAAATATCAACGAACTTTCTTTCAATTCATTTCAACATATTCATTAGAAATCATGTCTATAGAATTTTGATCACCCCATTTGCTATTATCTCGTACTGTTCACTAGAAACCATGCCTATAGGATTTTAATCATATCATTCGTTACTGCATCACACTGTTCACCTAGAAAACATATCTATAGGGTTGAGTGTAATGATAAAATCAGCTCCAAGTACTAAACATTAGAGATCCTGCCTATAGGACAACACTGTTTCGTCTTAATAAGAGTCAATGTTGCACCTCTCAATATGGTTTTTTATGCACTTCTGAGATCTTCCCAATGGTCCTGTCATTATTCCTTACTGCACGAGTCACCTAGACACATTAGGCTTAATAACTGAAAATCTGCAATTTTATTAATAAGCATGCAAATCGTATAATCCTGTCTATGAGCAACGCTTGGCCTTTGAAACTGTTTGCAAGCCCTGATGCCTTGTCACGTAGAAATCATGTCTATAGGGATTTAAGTTTCTTAATTCTAAATTGCTTAACATGAAGTTTGTCTTGCGTGCATTTGTTGCTTAATTGTGGAGGCAATCTTGAACCTTAACTGCCTATATGTAAAGTACAATGTATTTTTGTATGTCGCCTAGTTTTGACATTTCTGAGCATCCTAAGTGAGGTCTAGAACCACCCAAATAGAGGTCCAATACCTCCTGGACCATAGGTATGGGCCGAGTAGTGCACGCATAGGGTACGACTTAGAATTGAATTAGAACGCTTTTAGGTAACCACTTTAACATAGTAATCGGGTAGCAGGAGATGATAGTCTGTGCCCGCTGAATAATATGAGCAACTCCTATCTAAAAGGAGTTGCGAAGTATTATTTATGTTGCACGGGGTAATACTTTAGGCTAAAAAACTTAGGATCCCCCCCTCCCCCCCATTTCCTTTCTTTTCTATTAGAATGAACAAAATAGCCGCACCTCCCTATTCAATATCTCTTTGTAATAATTTTTTTAAATTTTGTACTCTCTTTTTTTACTTGATCACATAGATTAATCCATATAATTTAAGTTCGGTCGGGACCCACAGTTGTGGATCTCGAGGAATGCCTAACACTTTTTCTTTGAGGTAACTTGAGCCCTTACCCGATCTTTGTTGGTGTTGACTAGCTAAAATAGAGTTATCTGCAAATAGTAGCCCTAACGCACCTTAAAAATCGTTAGGGGACGACTCTCCTCTTTTAATACCTCCTTAAAAGAGTTGTCACATGTTAAAACCCGATTTCGCAAGAAAAGGGGCGCGACAGCATGGCGACTCTGCTGGGGATTTACACTTAGGCTCTTACCATAGCGAATTTGGCTTATATGGATTAGTCTTCTTTGATATAAACGCGCTTCCCTTTTCCATTTTTATTTGATACTACATGCACATCCCTCTCCCATTTTTCTTTTACCTGTTTAAATTCGTTGTAATATGCACATCCCTTCCCTGCTCTACCTTCCTTTGCTTAAATTGGCTATAACATGCATATCCCTTTCCTATTCACCTTTATTTGCTCTAAACTGCTCTTCATTTGTTTAAAGATTGCTACATCATGTCTCTGCCACCCCTACTCCCTTCCTTATTCTATTATATTCCCTATATTCCATGAACTAACTTCTTCCTTTGTCTTTCTTTTTACGTCTTTTATGTTTTACCTTAATACTGTATTTATTGCTTTTACATATTTATCATGCAAATACTTGGCAACGTGTTGTTATCTTTGCATAAAGCATGCTCCACATCATATTCCACTCGTGCCCGATTAATAACATAGTGGCACTTGATGAGTGTCCGCGCTCTTCCAAAATTACCTTTTAAATCGGAAAGGCTTATTTGCGGTAGACTAGTCGATCAGCGGTGCAGTCGACGGTCCCGTGCCTTTCCCTCTCAAGTTGTCCACTTGAGAGTACCGGTATAGACCCTTCTAGAAACCTCACTCCAATATCAATTGTGCATGCATCATGTCAAACCTAGTATGGGTTAGAACGTTGTCCATGTGATAATCCACTAAGATAAGCCTTGTCCAAAGTCCGACTGGATTTCCATAATCCCAATGGACACCATCACGTTAGGTGCATTACTTGGAGAAAACATGCCGGTATGTTGATCATTAATGTGTAAATTTATTCGGTACGGTTCAATATTTTTTTAGTTTATTTTTATAAAATAAAAAACCTACCCTAATTATCGGTACGGTTATAGATTTATATAAAAACCTACGGTTTTATTAAAAGAAACCTAAAAATTAGTTCGGCACGGATATGTCGGTTTTTAAATATTCATTTTACACCCCTAATCATTACTAACTTAGAAAAATAGCAGTATTAGACCCATTCTTTAATGTCATGGTCATTGGTGAGCTCAAATTTAAACGAGGGTTATAATTGATCCATTTCGAATAACACAACGACATTATTAGACTCATTCTATAACGGCAGGGTCATTTTTGGACTCAAGTTTAAACGGAGGTTATAATTGATCCATTTCGAATAACACAACGACATTATTAGACTCATTCTATAACGGCAGGGTCATTTTTGGACTCAAGTTTAAACGGAGGTTATAATTGATCCATTTCGAATACCACAAGGTCATTTTTGGGCATTTTCCCTTAATTTAATATACTACTTGGTTTGGTAATAATCCCTTACGAAGTCGCATGCTTGGCACGTGAGTATTGTAAGCCAATATACTAAAATACCCCTGTCCTACTCATCGGACGGAGTTTCCAAGGACAATTTTGCCCTTTAGCAGTTCAAATGGGGACAGAACAGCAATAAAATAGGAAGCTCCGAAAGATCTGATATTTGCCTCTCAACTTCACTACTACTCACTCCCTAACCCCAACAACAACAACTCTTCTTTTTTCCGGCGAAATCAATGGCCGCCGCTACTATTTCTTTGCTTTCCAACGGCGATTTAGCTTCTTCTGTCAAGTCACCGGAAACCGGTCGTTATCCTTCCGTTTACAGTGAAGTTCAAAACAGCCGTTTAGATCACCCTCTTCCTCTTCCTTCTGTCCTCGGTAGCCCTTTCAAAGTCGTTGATGGGCCTCCTTCTTCTGCCGCCGGTCACCCAGGTAATTAATGAAGTTACTCTACTATCGTTTTAACTGTAATTCTTAGGTTATAATTCTTTTCCCTGCAGTAGATCAAGTTAGTTCTGCATTGGTTTTTACTGTATGTTCTTGGGTAACAGTGTTCTTACTTTGATAGATCAAGTTACTGTACCGATCTGTATTCTTTTTAACTGCATTTTCCTGGGTAACAATGGTTTTTCAATTATAGATGAAGTCACCATGATGTTTTACACGCTCTGTAGTCTTTGCATTCAATTCATGAGTTGTTGTACTGAAAGTTTGCTCTTTATCTTAACTTATTTTATCCAAAGTAGTAGAAGAAGAAGCATGGGCTCTCCACATTTTTTGCACTGTAAATTGTGGAGTTACAATGTTCTTGTGTCGTAGATCAAGCTACTATACTGTTCTGCATGATCTCTTGTCTGTATGTTCGATTCACTTTTATCTGAATAAAGCATATGCGTTACTGTTTGTGGTTTTTAGAGATGAAAAATGCATAATTTAGGATGATTAGGACGAATGGGTCCATATAAAATAGAATGGATATGAAGGATTCAAATAGCCACCTTAACTAGATTAGGACACTTGCGCTGTGCTTTAAGGAGTTGAAAGCAAGTTTCAAGGTTATTAAGGGCCCTGTGAGCATCAAATATCAAATATCATTTCAGTATATTAAATACTGAACTCCAGTAAAAGGAGAAAGCATATTTCTCTCTGCTCTCATTGCGTGGCTGTGTGAGTTTTGAACTGTACGCCTCCCGCCCTCGAGGATTCTCCGGTTATAAAGAAAAAAAAGTTCAAATAGTTTGACCAACAGTGTTTGCAAATATTGAATTTCAGAACTATTGAAATATTGGTTTGAGGAGTATTTCAAGTCAAGTAATCATTTTCACACGATTTTCAAATGCATTTCCAAACATACTTCCAACTACTCCTTTTTCAAGTTCAACCAAATACCATACAAACACCAATTAAGGAGGAGCAAATCTTGTAAAAGTTGGATTTAGGAAGTATAGGAATTATAAACTAGAATTTTAATGTTGCAAAGTCTTTCTGCACCCTTTCGCTGTATAAGGTTTATTGAACCTTCCTTTGGAGCATGACATTTTTTATGACTTCTTTGGTCAGTTTAAGTGGTGTACAATTATAAATTATTAGTGTCAAACATTTGGTATTTTTGTAAATGTTTTGTGATTAGTGTCAATCCTCTTCACTTTTTGTTAGATTTATTATAGATTTATAACTGGCAACTGTCGGAATATTCTGTACACTTTTGGGTTTGTCAAATTGGAAAGTGATGTGTATGATTAATTTGAGGATGATTTGGTGATTGCAGAGGAGATTGGAAAGCTTTTTCCTTCCCTATTCGGACAACCATCTGCATCATTGGTGCCCGAAGATTCTGGGGATGTTGCAATGAATCAGAGTTTGAAAATTGGGGTGGTGTTATCTGGAGGCCAAGCTCCCGGAGGACATAATGTCATTTCTGGAATATTTGGTTAGATCATAGTCAAGAACTTATGTCAGTTTAATTCTTGCAGATTTTCGCTTTTAATCAACTTTGTATATTTGGATGGTAGATTTCTTGCAGACTCATTGCAAGGGAAGCACATTATATGGATTCAGGGGTGGACCAGCTGGGATCATGAAGTGCAAGTATGTGGTGTTGACCCCTGAATATATTTACCCATACAGAAATCAGGTATGTTGGCTGGTAACTTTTTTCTGCTAACAAGACATTCTAGAACTTCAATCCCTTATCACAGTTCAAAATCCATCACATTATTTTGGAGTAACAGTAAGAATTCATATTTTTCTTCCAGGGTGGATTTGATATGATCTGCAGTGGCAGGGACAAGATTGAGACTCCAGAGCAGGTACTTGCCAGATTCTATAATTTTTGTACCTTCTATGATCTTTCTAGCTATGAATATTACATCGATGACCAATTCCAAATCATTTTTTTTAGTTTAAGCAAGCTGAAGAAACAGCAAAGAAGCTCGATTTAGATGGACTTGTCGTAATTGGTGGAGATGACTCCAATACAAATGCTTGTCTTCTCGCTGAAAACTTCAGGTAACATTTGTGCCCAAAAATAAAATGAGAAATAAAATTTAGCTGGTGACATGATCGTGTTTTACGTTTAATCAGTGGTATTGCTGTGGCTAAATAGGTAGTTGTGTTTTTCAGAAGTAAAAATTTGAAAACTCGGGTTATTGGATGCCCAAAAACCATAGACGGTGACTTGAAATCCAAAGAGGTTCCCACAAGTTTTGGCTTTGATACGGCATGCAAGGTAATTCTTTCTGAGTAGCACATTTTTCTCTCTATAAAAATTGGAGACTTTCTATCTGTATAAAAGAAAAAGGTCTAAGTTCTGACAAAGTAGAGAAAATGAAGCTGCTTGGGATGTTATCTGGACTATGACGTTAACATTTCGGAATTCAGTCTTACTGTCAACTAGTCTTAGTTATCCTGTCATGTCGACTAATTTATGTGTACTAGACTCTTTAAAAAAATGCGAATTAGACTCGTAAACACAATATACTTGCTACTTAAACCTTGCTGTTGGGCATGTACCTGAATGCTTTTTCTTGTGGTGGTTGGCATGATCATTTTCCTCATATTTGTTATATAGTACTCCGTATTTGATTTTGGTTGGCCATCAGAAGATCAGTTTCTAATCGACGAACAATTTTCTCATTCTATAACAAGCTCAATACAAGGAATCTTGAAAAACTTAAATACTTTGTTTCTAAATGCTACCTTCTTTGAATTTGTTTAATCAATAATATTCCATATAGTCTGATTTCCTCATTTTTCTGCTCGAAGTTTTAAACTTAATAGTGTATTATCTTGTAGTCGCATATTATCCTGTGAAGGTTCACATGTACTAAATCCAATTTTAATCTACAGATATATGCCGAAATGATTGGAAATGTCATGATAGATGCTCGATCAACAGGAAAATACTATCATTGTAAGCTCACTAACCCTATCATATGGAAGGATGAACTCCATGTAGCACTTCTTATCACATGTCTCCTTATTCCAGGATAGGATACTTGTGTAATCAATAACTGAAAAAGCACTATACTTTCTCCTACCGACATCACAATTCTTTTGGAAATCAATCTTTTTCAAACTATATGCTTCCCTAAGAAATTGAATCACATAAGCCATGTTCGTTTCTAGTCTACTTGAGTTTAGACTGCATTATGTTGACCCACGCGCTCCATTCTTCCAAAACAGCCTTAGAAATTGGTTGACGTTCAAGTTTATCCCCCCCCCCCCAAAAAAAAAAAAAAAAAAAAAACGAGCCTGTACAGTGATATAAGCGTGCTTTCCCTGCACCATGATAAAATCACACATTTGAACTATATGGTTTATGAATTTTTGCCGCTGATAGTTGAACGCTTGAACTAGTTACCCCGTGCAGGAAATAGCATTGTCTGCTCATTTATCTCTATTTGCTTATGCATATATCTGAAATATCATAACCTTGTCCCTTTACTCGTAACAGTTGTGCGGCTCATGGGGCGTGCTGCTTCACACATTACTCTAGAGTGTGCTTTGCAAACTCATCCAAACATTACTTTGATTGGAGAAGAGGTATCTTTCTTAATTTAACACTCTTGTGCCACACCAAAATCGTTGGAGAAAATATAAACCTTTGTTTCTTGTTAATAAGAAAACTATATGACTGCTTGTCTTGAATAAAAATGGCATCATTCTATAGGAAGTGTTGCTCTACGTAAACATAAGGTGTCAAAGTTTACAAAGAGAGGAGGAAGAAAGGAACCCTTTTATTTTTTTGAAAGGAACCAAGGTTATTAAAGGTGCACGTGAAGCCAATCAATAGTCTAATTGTTTTGGCGTGCCTCATTAAGAAAATGAAGAAATCTTTGATCACTAATCTGTAGTTATACGATGCTTATATCACTTTCTTTAAGTTTAACAAACTTCCAAACCAGCTATATCTCAAACTTGTCATATTTTGGCAGGTATTTGCAAAGAAACTGACTCTTAAGAATGTTACGGACTATATTGCTGATGTGATCTGCAAGCGTGCAGAGTCAGGTTACAATTATGGAGTGATCCTCATTCCCGAAGGACTTATAGATTTCATTCCTGAGGTAAAACAGCATATAAGCAAACCTAATCTCGTCAAATTGAAGTTTTTCTCTAACTTTTCCCTGGTCAAAGTATTCTTTTTCCTTGTACTGGTAAACCTTTTGGAAACAGATCGTCTGAGTTCTGACTTTTTATTGGCGTTGTGCAGGTTCAGCAACTCATTGCGGAACTAAACGAAATATTGGCTCATGATGTCGTGGATGAAGCTGGTGTTTGGAAAAAGAAGCTTACTCCTCAGTGTCTTGAGCTCTTTGAGTTGCTGCCCCTAGCTATTCAGGAACAACTGCTGCTTGAGAGAGATCCACACGGAAATGTCCAGGTATTTATTCATCATGGTTAAAAAGTCATTCTACTCCGTGCTACACAATGTGGTAACATGTAAGTGGTACTTCTGCAGGTAGCTAAAATTGAAACTGAGAAAATGCTTATTCAAATGGTTGAAACTGAATTGGGTCAGAGGAAGCAGAAGGGTGCATATAATGCTCAATTTAAAGGACAATCCCACTTTTTCGGGTACTCTTCTTGCATGTTCTTTCACTGCTTTACTTTCTGTTTATGTCATGCCATGAATATCAGATCATACAAAATGAAAGGACTGACAATTGGTACCACTTCCCAGTTATGAAGGAAGGTGTGGCTTGCCATCCAATTTTGATTCCACATACTGTTACGCGTTGGGATACGGTGCAGGAACACTGCTGCAAAGTGGGAAGACGGGGTTGATATCATCGGTGTGTGCTTTTTGTGCCATTTAAATTTGTACCCATGCGACTCATTTTAGAATATCCTTTAATTCACGCATAAGCTAATTGTATTGAAGTTGCTCTTAATTTTCTGTGTATCAGGTTGGAAACTTGGCTGCTCCAGTTGAAGAATGGACCGTTGGTGGAACAGCACTCACTTCATTGATGGACGTAGAGAGGAGACACGGTACAATGCTTGTTCTTCCCTTCATCAATTTTCACCCTGATATAACATTTCAAAATTTTCCTCTTAATGTTGAAAATGCATTCAATTCTACAGGCAAGTTCAAACCGGTGATCAAGAAGGCTATGGTGGAGCTTGAAGGTTAGAACTCTGCAGATATAATAGAACTTCTATTCCTTTCCTGGCGCTTCATTTGTTTCCTCCTTTCTCAGGGAAACTAATTACTATGTTTTATTACAATGCTAAAGTTATCAAAACTGTTTCTCTTACTGAATGCAACCGTACTGATGTGCAACCAAGTTGAAGACTAATTTGGAATGTACATTCAGGTGCTCCATTTAAGAAATTTGCTTCAAAGCGGGAAGAGTGGGCTCTTAACAACCGATACATTAACCCAGGTATATTCTTTATAACAACCTTACTTTTGCTTAACTGGTTTTGTTATGGTTTTATGAATGTAGTTTATGAAGCATTATTTAGTGATTATCATCAATAACTTGCTGCACCTAATACTACACTAGTTTAGGGAAAATTGGAGCATTCCATCTCACCATCTCTAGTGGTTTTGATTACAGGTCCCATTCAATTCGTTGGTCCAGTGGCTAATAAACTAAACCACACTTTACTTCTGGAGTTGGGAGTAGATGCTTAAGAGAAGAGATATGAATCATTGTGAATTCTAGTTCTTGTACTGTGGGTTTTTTTACATAAGCAATTAGCACTTATGTTTAAGTTTTATTGGCGGATTATCATTTATCTTTGTACTAGGCAGGTTGAGTTGAGAAAGAATTGGTAGCTTGCACTTATTGTTGCAGCCTATCATGGTAGTTGTTTTATCTTTGATTTAACATATGCTTGATTATAGATATCAATTTAGTGTGCAATTTGAATAATATAACCTCTTCTTTTGGGGGTCAGGTTTTATTGGTCTTACGAAATTGAGATGTGTTCTTTGAGGGCAAATCTCTTTTATTTTCTGAATTTTTAGGTTGCTTGGATCCTTCAAAAATGTTGTTGCATCCATGTTAGATTCTCTCAAAAATATTGATTTTTTGGAGGATGCCACACTGTTTTGGCACCCCTTTTTAGAGGATTCGAGCAACATAGTTGTAAGATAAACGAAATAAAAATATTAGGTAGATGAGTCACAGGCTCACAGTATAATCTCCATAGGGTCTTTTATTTTTTGTTAATGGATTTCGTTTGACGAATCTTGCACCCATCGGTCAATTGATTTGATTTTGGATAAAAAATTATTATTTGCTGACAAAAATTTGTTCTTCGAGTGCAGTTATTTCAAACATTTTAGAAATAAAGAATCTATAACTTAAGGTATTATTATGAAAGGTTAAATACATAAATTGTATTTGATAATACTAAGTAATTGAAGTTTGAACCCTTTTGCTCAAACGAAAAATAAAAGGAAAAGAAGTTTGATCCCTAAATCTGGATGCTTTTAGCATTGGCATTTCCAACTTTTATCTATTTTAACCTATACATTCACATAAATTCGTTTCGTCTAATTATCTTATTACTCCCTTGGTTTCTTTTTAGTCCCTTTCAAGGAGGAACGATAGCTTTCTAAACTTGAAAGTGAATTAACTTAAACATTTCATTTTATCTTTAATGACAAGCTTTGCAGCCATACAAATATTATGGTATGTTTAAAATCATAAGTTTCTTATATTATATTCACTCGAATGGAATCTTATTTTCTTTTCAAATCTTGTGTTCTGTCAAATTATGTCACATAAATTAAAACAATCGAATGGCATATTATGTTTCATTGCATATTGAAATAATTTTGGTGTTCAAATATATATTTGTAACAATATGAATATTACTATTAACAACAAACTCCAATACACCTAAAGAGCACCTAAATTCCATAGCTGCATTCCTTGATGGGTAGTATGAGATATAGGCCTCCGACAACAACTATTTATACAAGAAATTTCTAACGTAATCTATTGCAAATAGATTACTTCTTGCTATTAGTAATTTGGTTGATTTTTGGGCAACCATATTTGGCATGAGATTGTGCTCAAAATCGCATGAATCAGACTTTATAAGCACACAGAGACAGTCAATTATTCTTTGTAGTATTAGACATAATGCTTATAAGAATGCTCAAAAAGCGATCGAAACCTTTATAATCTTTCAGCAGAATCCATGCAAAAAGGCTCTACTTTACATCAGAATTTCTGAGATCCACATGCTCTCTGACTTCTTTCACTTTTCCGTCAATTTCTCCTTTGCCGAGCTTAATTTATGTGCACTGGCATATTTTACACTCTTAAATTAAGGTGATCTATAACAACAACTATTACTACTATTAATCTCAAATAAATTAGGGTCAACTAACAATCTATAATAAGGAGGATTCATAATTTAAAATTTATGGATTTTTACAGCAATCTTAATTTAACAACTAAGTTATATTTAATAAATTTTAATAATGCAAGAGCTACTGGATTCTCACATGTTGACAAATTTAGGAAAAATGGCCAAATATACCCCTCTACTTTCGGATATTATCTATATTTAACCTTCGTTATACTATCTCGCTAAATTTAGCCCTACCGTTATACTCTCCGACCAAATTTACCCCTATCATCAGTAAACTTTTAAAAATTACCCCTTGATCTGTTAAGTAATCCAAATATTTAAATCACTTATTATTTTTCTTGCTCCACTATTTTTAGAAATTACTATTGATGTGAATGCTAAAGGTACTATATTATAAAAATTATTCATGGATATTTTTAATTACCAATGCACTCACTTCTCTTCTTGTGATAATAGGTTCGGAAATGGTTTAAAAGTTTATTTATTTATCAACCGTATACACATCGTAGAATTCAGTGGGTCTATTTAGTGTGTATTATATGCAGCCGATCATTATATATGTACATGTATATTCGAATATATTTTGTTATTGTCTGGCTAATAGAGAGTTCGATCGACTAACTTAAGAGTGCACAATGCGTAGGCGTTTGATTAAAGCAAAGTTGAATTCGGCAATGTAAAGTCTCCAAGGAACTCCAACTTCTATCACTAATACTTGCAAAGTCTACATACCTTTGGCGCAACGAATTTATTAAAGTTGAGATGTTGTAAATACTTTTGAAATTTAGACAAGCTACCTAATTTAAATTCTTCAATTTACTATACTTTGTTTACTAACTGTTGTATTGTTTTAATATTTCTTTCTCTTATTTTTTTCAATTAAGAAAGTAGGTAAATGCCAATTATTTCGAAAATAGTGAATCAAGAAGAAGAATATGTGACTTAATTAAAATAATTTTAGAGATTCTGGTCACTTGACGGACTGAGGGGTAATTTTTAAAAGTTTAATTATGATAGGAGTAAATTTGGCCGGAGAGTATAACGGTATGGGTAAATTTAATCGGATAGTATAACGGATGTTAAATATAGACAATATCCGAAAGTAGAAGAATATATTTGGCCCTTTTTCCCTAAAATTTATGTGATAACTTAAAAAATAAAGTTAATAATCTGTTTTAATAAGCGGAATCCTAGAAATGCGATATATATTACTTAAATTCTTTTATATTGTCAATATATATAACATAAATCCTCACATGTCTTTCTTTGTCTTCTCTACCTTTCACAACATTAATACAGAGATTGTAACATTCTCTTGTCAAGTTTCGATTAAATAGAAATCGATTTTCCCACGATTTATCTTTAAGCAATCGGATTAGTTATACAAGCATCCTTATATCAATCAATCTAAATGTCGGGTGCACTTTAATTCAAACTAGGTAGATAAATCTTCTATAGCCATTTCTTTTAAAACAAGAAAAAGAAAAAAGAAACTCATAAATATATATACTAAATTCATTTGATCTAATGCTAGGAGGAGCTTTAGTCACATTTTATTATACTAGTATCTATGAACGTGCGTTGCACGTTAATAATGGCACATGATGATTTAAATATTTATTTATATGAAGAAAAAATAAAATTTAATTAATGAGAGAAATTTTAAGTATAATAATACAACAATCATCTAAATGCCGGAAAATATTATTATATTAACATAATACATGAAGTTTAAATAAAAGGATATCATCAAAACTTACACAAATGATCAATTTTGTCATGTTAATTAGATAATTATATATATTATAGTTTAAAAGTAATTAATGTGGGGGTATCTTAACGAACACTTCTTTATGGACAATATTTTTTTGTGTATGTTTCTTCCTAATACGTTGGTTGCTCTGTCTTAACCATAACTCTTATTGTCGATCTTGATATCCCTCTTGAAAGTGCAACATACAGTTGTTCGTGCAAGAAAACATATTGCGGTAATTATAGTCCAATATTTAGGATGTTTGTCCTTATGCTTTATTTATTATATTTGTAAAATATAAACATACTAAAAATTATTCACTCAAATTTAAAAGGATATTCCTTAGTTTCGGAAGACAAAAGTTGAATTCAGGGATAAGAATATACTTAGAAGTACTTTAACCAATATGATAATTTTTGCGTGTATGACGTTATTGTCAAAACTTCTATATATCATCTATGTGCAAATACATAAGCTATTCGGCGTATCTAAGTTTTTCAGTAGCATAACGAGCATATTTTTCTTCAAAATTAACCTATATACAGTGGAAAATTAATTTTAACTTAGTCTATTATATATACGGTGACACTAACATATGTAGGAAATAAGAAACTTGACAACAAACATGTGGTAGAATGTCATTTGGTATTAAAGTATTTAATTATTCTTATTGGTAGTAATTATTGGTATTATTTTTAGCTGAGTCAAAAACTGAAAAATATTTTATTTTTACTATAAAATTTTGCAATCAACATTTTATTTAGTTGATAAACATATTCATTTATGCTAGCTAAGATATCTTATTAATTCTATCATGCGATTTGCACATATTGCATTTTAATTTAATGATAGAAATATTTCTCTTATTAAATGCACTACTAATACCATTGTGATTGATAACCAAGTGTTCAGGAAGAACCAAATCATCTTTTATTGGATGCTTTTCTGATCTTCGTTTCCCACACGAAGCAAGAAGACATTGAATACTGTATCTGTTCTTACTTTATATTTCTTGTCAGTTGAATCTTTTTCGTTTGAGGCCAGAAGTATAACTTTGGCAAGCTAGCTTTTACAGTCTCTACTTTTGTCGATTTTGGAACTACTGGTAGTACTTGACAGTCACCTCCCAAACCATTAATTTTTTTACCAAACAGTTCATTAATACCCAATATATCTCTAGAACTTCGGGCAATTATTTTGATTGTTTGACACTTAGCCATAAGCGCTTCATCCCATATTATCAATTTTGCTTTCCTTATAAATTTAGCACCATTACTCTGTTTTGATATATTTGTGATGGTATTTAAGTTGTTTGAAGAGGTATATCAAATCTAAAGTGGATGGCCTCACAATAAAATTGTTGTTGGTATATCATTTGCTATTATTGCTAATAGTGTCATGCCTCTTGATATGATATTTGCAAGTAATGCATGACATATATAGAAATATTATTTCGATTCCGCCGGAGGCATCTACAAAGAATAATCTCGTTGTACCAGAGTCGACTCTTTATAATATAATCTTGAAAGCTTGTTCTTGTTTAAGATTTAGCTTTGATTGTGCTTACTCTAACACTTGTATAATATTTTGATTCTTAATAATATACTAACATTTTTATTTTGTGTTCTAACGCTCTTTTTATGGAATAAATTTATGTACTCTAATTTATTTTTAACTTGAATAAGAATTTTACTCATATGATGAATTTAAATAATAATTGAATTGGATTTTCTTGCTAAATAATTAATTAAAAGATTTAATTATTTAGTTTTAACATAAAAAATAATTTATTCTATGTTGATTCAGATCTTAATAGTAGTTTATCTCTTATTTTTAATATTTAATATTAATTAT